GGAAGGAAGGAAGGAAGGAAGGAAGGAAGGAGGGAAGGAAGGAAGGAAGGGCTCTATACCACACACTGTGCTGTCTATGTATCATTACAATGATCATGCGATTTTATACACAAGATAAGCAAAGCTCAGACAGGGAACTGTCCTAGATTATAAAACTACAGTTGTTAAAGTGAGGGTGATAATGTCCATTTTGCAAGGCTGGTTTAAGGATTCAATGTTGCTCATTCCATCAGTCCATCTCTACTGAGGAGGTTTTTCTTAATCCCATCCTTCTGTGACTATGCTCCCAAGCCCATTCATTTGCCACAGTCTTTCTGATGTAGCTACTTATCATGAGTTCTACCTCACTAAGTCTGCGGGTTTTGTGAGAGCAGGAAACTGCATGTCTGCTGATTTGTCACCGGAGTCTGTCATCCTGCCTGGTCTTGGCAGGCGCTGAAGACACAGCTTTGGGGAGAGTTTATTGAGTGGCAGGAGGGTTCAGCTTGGAGCCTGTGTAAGGACTGCTCCTGCCTCTGTCAGTCTCTTCTGGGTATATTCTGTGAAAATGGCACATCTTAGTGGACATCCTCCTTTCCTTCCTTAACTGCTAAGATCTGAATGTTTGTCTCCTCCAAAATTCACCTTGAAATTTCATTGCCGCTGTTAACAGTATTAAGACATTGGAGCTTTGAGAGGTGAGTAAGACCAGAAAGGTTCCAACCTCATGAAGAGATCAGCGTCCCTCTCCTGGGAGTGTCTACCACTGGAGCAGAAAGCAGGACAAAGTGGGAGTGAAGAATGAGTGGAGCAGCTACAGACCCTGCAGACCCAAACCCTGGTCCATTAGAGAGAATAGACGTCGTTGACTGAGCTGAAGAGCGAGGTCTCCTTCCACTAAGCCCCTGACGATCACCTGCACATGTGTATTTTTATTACAGGAATTTTTTTAATATTTTAGTTATTAATTTTTTATGTGTATGAGTGTATTGCCATGTGTGTAAGTGCACCCATGTCACAGAGGTCAGACGAGGGTGTCAGATCCCCTGGAACTGGAGTTACAGACAGTTGTTAGCCGCCATGTGGGTGCTGGGAATCAAACCCAGGTTCTCTACAAGAGCACCCAGTGCTCTTACCCGTTGAACCATCTATCCATCCCCTAGAGGAATGCTTTTAAGGAAAAATATTTTCATTTGGCTTCCTAAAAACAGCTGCAGCAGGCTAGATGTGGTGATGTACTCCGCTAACTCCAACACCTTGGAAGTGAAAGCAGGAGAGGTTCATCCTTGACTATATAATGAGTTTGAGGCTAGCCTGAGCTACATGAGACTGTCTTAAAGCAAACATCAACAAAACCCAGCTGTGGCAGAGTCCAAGCCTTCGTTTCCATAGTTCACATCCTTCACAGTCTCAGTGTCTTCTTTCTGATGGATCACTTTGCAGTATTACAATCCCATCACTTCAAGTCCACAGGAATCACGTGAGAAGGGCAGGCAAGGCCTGAGCAACAGTGTGGCCAAGAGGGAAGTTTCTTAAAATTAACCTAGGCTTAGCCTCAGTTCAGTACTTTTACGTTTGTAATCAGGGGCTGAGAAATCGAGTTTTACTGCAAGTGGATTATCTTTCTCATTAACAACCTCATTTCCAGGGGCCAATTCTTATTAGTTCTGAGATTAAGCTATCTGCAAACTGGATCTTCAAAAGCCCTTATACAGGGCCTTTCTTATCTCAAGCCCCAAGCAAGTACTCGACTTAGTAAGTAAGCACTTACTGTGCACCAAGCACTGTGCTCACCACTGGAAGCAGAAAGGCAAGTGAACAGCTGCACTCTAAGGGAGGAGGAAAGGAGCACGCAGTCCGAGGGAGGAGGCGGCCACCCAACCTAGCGGTCTTGTTCATGGGAAGACTGGGACAGATGTGAACACAGGGAACAGAGAGCCCTGAGCTGCCACCAACCAGCCACTGTTTGTCCAAAGCCATCTGGGAGAAGTGTGCAAAGCAGTCGGTTATGTGCTTCACACACCGCGTCGTGATTGGTGGTTCTCAACAGGGAGATTTTGCCCCCAACAACCTCTAGTGAGGCCTGGAGACATTTTTGGCTGTTCTACTAGGAGAGTGTTACTGCCATCCAGCGGGCAGACAACAGGAACACTGCCAAGCATTGCCAAGGCCCTGGAAGCTTGCATGTGCGCACACACACACACACACACCCCACATACACACACACACCCACATACACACACACCCCCACATACACACACATACCCCACATACACACACCCCATGTACACACACATACCCCACATACACACACATATTCGCAAATCTAAGAAGAGATGTCTGTTATGGTATAGGAGGTATACAGAATACCAAAGAGACAGGGCCAGAAAAGAAATACACACACAACCCCACATACACACACATACCCCACATACACACACACCCCCACATACACACACACCCCACATACACACACATACCCCGCATACACACACCCCATATACACACACATACCCCACATACACACACACCCCACATACACACACATAAATATGCACATACCACACACTACACCATAAACACACACATATACACACACCCCCATACATTATACCACACAAACACATAAACCACACATACCATACACACATAGCACACTCAGAAACTACACACACATATACACACACCACACATACCACATGTACCACACGTACATCAAACACACACATACACATATCACATATATCAGATACACAAACACACACCATGTATACACGCCACACACAAATACAGTACACATACCATACACACCCCACATACTACACCATATAAATACACCAAACAGTATATCACACATACATACCATACCATGTATACCACACACTACATCACACATACACATACCACACACACATCAAACACACACATGTACACATACCACACATATCACATACACAAACACACCACATATATACTCCACACACAAATACACACAGTACACATACCATACATACCCCATATACTATACCACATAAATACATACACCACACACTATACTACACATACACACTACATATACCACACACTATATCACACATACACATACCACTTACACACATCACATACACACAGCATACATACCATAAATACTATACCACACAAATACCACACAAAGCACAGAAATACACCACATACTCTACACACAAACACACACCATAAACACTATACCCCACACACACACACCACATACTACACACACAAATACACCATAAACACTATACCTCCACACACACACCACATACTACACACACAAATACACCATAAACACTATACCCCACACACACACACCACATACTACACACACAAATACACCACACATGCACATAAACACTCAGCAATCACCCAGTCCCAATCCCCACAGCCCATGTCATGACTGCAACATACCTGAACCCTCCGTTAGAGGCCACACTGTCAACCCTTTTTGCTCCCTGGGGATCCAGCATTGCTGCAGATATACACTAACAAATATACAGGAAATGGTAGGGGCCTCAGGAAGAACAGCAAAGACTCCTGGTATATGATCCTGTATTAATACCATCAGAGGTCACCCAAAACTCCCATACACAAACACGAAGCAGCTGGCTATGGGGAAAGAGCAGGTACCAAGGTCGTGAAGGGGTGCTAAGTTCCCTTTCCAAACCTTCTCAGAACAGCTTGAGACCCCAAGCACGCAGGGCCCATGTGTGGCGGAGACGGAGCCTGACCTGCTGCCCTACCCAGGCTGGCAACGGCGGGTGCAGCAAGCATGGCTGGAGGCACAAACACAGAGACGCTGGAGCCGAGGCCTCAGCAGGAGCAGGGAAGCACGTCCAGCAGCCAGTGCTCAGGGAACCCCCGGGGGACTGGAGGCAGATGGTGCTATGAAAGAATGCAAGATGGCCACCGCTCCATCAGACCAGACCAAGCTGCAGAACAGCAGCCCTGCTCTCCCCGGGTGTAAGGACTGAGTTCAGTGGAGACTAGCGGGGATTCAGACCCCCCCAGCCACCTTGCCCAGCTCAGCCAGCGCCTGCAAAGAGATGTACTAAGCCCCCAGTACTGACTAGACTGAAAGGCTTTCCAAGACTGAGCACCCTAATGAGCACCTCATCGTCCTCCCCTCAAATCTTCTTGTTCTATTGTCATCGACAGTCCACTGCGTCCCGATAAGGACACCTGCAGTTGTGCTGATGCTTCACTCTGGTGTGTTCACTGTCTCACACTGTCATCCCCTGTCCCCCCCACGGCACCCCCCGCCATGGTCACGGGGAAGCAGTATTGGGTTGCCTCCATTTCACAGAGAGGAAATGAAGGGGCTGTGTGACTCGTCTGCTCAGTGACAGTGACAGCATCACCTGGTCTGTCACTCGAAGCCACACTCCACTGGGCCTGCCTAGTGGGTTTCCCACCCTGTGTACTGATGATCTTCAGGGTGACCCCGTGGCATCATTATTTTCTCTATCATAAAGATGTGAAAGCTGAAACGTTTAAGATGCTAAGTTCCCTTTCCAAACTTTCACAGCAGTAAGAGGGAGGGTCGGATTTCCAACCTGAGTTCTTATGCAAAATCATATGAAGTCTCCAGTCTTCCAGTGGCATTACAAGTATTTACTGACTGCCAGCCACACATGTGGCACTCTCTGTGGGCCCAGAACACATGCATCTAACCATACATAGTAGTTGGACACCAGGTGGTAACATGATCAGTTTGAACTAATGATGCCACATTGCCTTCTACAGGTGGACAAACCCATCTCCAAAGATGTCAGAAGCCAACATTTTAAAGGTAAAGTCCCTAGAGTTTAAAATACAACCAGAGAGCATCTCCTCTCCTCCCACAAGCCTGAGTTCTGCTTGTGGTCACAGGGGCCATGCACCATGTGAGCTATTGAATTACACTTCAAGAAATGACTAATTTTGCAGTCAGACACACCTTATGACATTTTTATTGCCTCATTTTATTGACAAAGGAATTGATTGTGAAAACTCATATTCCATACTGCATAATGGGAAGGAGTTGTTTCAAAACATATCGGTCTCATTCGATAGATGTAATTTTTATAAGCATGCTTTTTGAAAAATCACAAGATAGAAATCTAATTTTAAAATGTTGATTAATGAATATGAAAACAGGTTTTAAAGCTCTAGGCAAAACAACTCACTTTGAAGACGGAAGCACAGGTAATGATTGGAGCATCCCTGAAAGGAGGGATCCGTTCCCGTCGTCCTAGAAGCACAAACTAAGACCCGTCGAAGAGATTCAGTTGGATCTCATCGCCCATCAACCTTGTCATCTTCCTGTCTGTCTCCTCTTACAATGCTGGGTGGGAAGATGGCGGTCCTGTGATGTACGTTCCCCACTCACTGAAGCCCACTGACTTCTCTGTTTATGTGCTTGCCACTACATTCCAGAGTGTCTTGCAAACAGCATCTTTCCTTTCATCAGAAAGCACAGCAACGCAGGTCCCAATGGCAAACAGATGGCAAACTCAAATAACGCTTTTAAGAAAGTTTACTTACAAAGGAACTATTTACAGGTGTTCAGGGTGCTGGGAAAGAACCAACAGTGGAGACGGAGACACCAGGGCTGGACCAAGAAAGCCATCCCCAGTCTAGGCCCGAGAGACAGGGAGGAGCTACTGAAAGCCACCAGGGGCAGAGACAGGGATGGGGAGACCACCCAGGGCGGGAGCTGTGCCAGTCTGACTCCTGATGCTATGACAAAATCCCTGAGAAATCCAACTTAAAGGGAGCACAGATCTGTTTCGCTCACCGTTTCGAGGTCACCATTACCAAGGTATCAGTCCATGGTTACTGGCGCTGTTGCTTTGGGGCTGAGATGAGTCAGAGCGTCATGGTGGGTGGTGGGTGGTGGGGAAAATCCACTCACCTCACGGCAGCTGGGAAGCAAAGAGAGAGGAAGAAATGAAAGCACCAGCATCCCCTGCAAAGGCCCGCTGGGTGACCCAGCCCACTTGGGGCCGCGGTGCTCATGACAGAGTGAAGAGAAGGGGCTCACGGTAGGAAGCAAGGTGGGCAGAGCAAGGAAAGCAGCGGCAGCCTGGGCCGGCCTCTGCCTGCCTCACGTGAGACCGTCAGCAAGACACCTTGGTGAGGCCGGTGTGCCCACTCGCTTCAGCTGTGGAGGCAGGAAGGATCCTAATTCCCGCATCCACAGCTCACTGGCAGTCTGCACAGCCTCACCGAGTCCCGTGTGTCCTCCAGCCCTCTCCTGAACCCCAATATGGCATGAGGGAGCTGTCTTCTTAGTTCTCTGAGGTCCCAAAGAACGGCAACTCCTTCCACTTAAAGTCAACCTGCTCTATCGACAGGTGCATTTTTCATTCTTAGAAACATCAAAATGAGCTGTGTAAAGGTCTTTTTTAATATTTTATTTATTGTTTTTATTGCATGTGTATGAGTGTATTCCCTGCATGTATGTGAGTGCACCCGTGTCGTGCAGTGTCCACAGAGGTCAGAAGAGGGCGTTGGATCCCCTGGAACTGAAGTTACATGCAGTTGATAGCCATCATGTGGGTGCTGGGAATCAAAGCTGGGTGTTCTGCAAGAGCAGCAAGTGCTCTTAACAGCTGAGCCATCTCTCTAGCCCATGAACTGTGTAAGAATCTCTTCATCTTGACAGAGAAAGGGACCAGAAGCCCGGGGGTCACAGACTAGGTTGCGATGACTCAGTAAGCAAATGTCTAAAATGTCCTGGGTGGTAACAGCAGCCCTGTGCTCTGGTAAAGAGAAACCAGGAAGCAGCCTTGGTGGGAGCTCTCTCTCTCTCTGGACATCCATCCTCACGTCTGTGGTCACAGTATTTACACTGCATCACTTCATAAAATACTGCTTTAATAAAGCCTTGAACAATAAAATAAAGAGAAAAATTCTAGTGGAAATCCAGATAGATGATCTGTTTAAGGCAAATAAAAAAACAATTAGGGTCCTCAGGTACATACTGCTAAATTCTATTAAAATCAAATAACTCATTTGCCTCTGAGCTTCCTGGCAGCCTAAGAAAAAAGAGAATCCAATTCCTTTATGGGATTAGTTTCCCATAACAAAATGGCAAACCAATTCCTCAGGGAGAGGAACAGGGATGTATTTCTCGGGAATACGTTGGTGCTGTCTGTTTTTTAGAGGATGTTGACTGATGTCATGGCTGCAAAAATGTAACTGCTGTTAGAGTGGGCCCCAGTATCAACTGAGGCTGTCGCTAGAGAGAATAACCCAAAGAGAAAGCTGGGCTCACTGGAGTCGAAGGAGGGTTATGGAAGACTCCCTCCCTCCATGAGCATTACCACCTGTCTGTTTTTCTTCCCACACCTCTGTAACTGATGGCTCTCCAGGATCACCCTGGGCATTCAGGTACCACACAGAAAGGAAGAGGGGGCGTAAATTAACATGGATACCCACATTTCCAGGATCAGACATCTCACAGGAAAATGCTTGGATAATTTATGTGTTCATTAACAATTTCTGTATTTTTGATGTGAACACATTCTTGGATAATTTATTCATTCTCACAACGTGTCACAGAACGTTATTCAGAAGCAGAGGAACTGTGGTGATATTTTTGTCAAGTTGAGCAGTTATGGGTTTATGTCAACATGTGCCTAGTGTCGTTTTTCTTATCAGATCCTGACATCTGTAAAGCATCAGATTTCAAGAACTTATCTTCCCTGAAGGGAGACCTTTTTCATTCCTAGAAATGGGCGAAAGTTTTATTTTGAGGCAATGTTGCTAGCTGTATGTGACGAACCACAGCCATACCACAGATCCAGAAGAAATCTTCTTATCTCCAAGGAGGAGAGTCGTGGTTTTCAAAGAGGACATGGCTTAGCTTCTTGGGAGGACCGAAGCTTAAAATTACAAAATAGCCTGCCGTCGGATGCATGTACCCTCGCCCTACACATGAACTGAGCAAGAACTCTCGACTAATTTCTTTTGAAGTGACATGCCAACTATTCAGGGATGAATTTGTAAAGACATCCAATAAACCACCCAAGAAAAGAAAAAGAGAATTATCCTCGGGCGACTGAGCACATATATCCAGAAACATGAGCTTGGTTGAAAGCAGCAAACGACAGCCCACACAATGACCTCCAACGGGCTTTCTGTGAGTTTGCTTTTAAACAGACTCGGATGCTGAAGCAATTAGAATCTGAGGCCAGTTTGACGTTAATCTGCTGCCTCAAGGCACAGTCAGGGTCAACCAGCAAGTAGTCAGAGCCCAGGCTAGCAGCCTGTTTACTAGCTGCAGATGGTCCTGGGTCTAAGGATAAAGGCCAGTGTTGACATTCAATCTGTCACTCCTCTTCTGGCTGGCTCCTGCAAACTAAGACTTGGTGTGTGATACTTCCCTCTAGTGGCCACAACTGAGGGAACCTGAACTACCAGACCAGACTTGATCTCCTGTAAACTGACACTACATCCTTAACATACATGACAAGCCTTAGCTGGCAGAGTTGAGGAGAAAGAAATGCAAAACACTCCCCTGTCACGTTGTATTTAACTTATTTCAGTCACAACCCATTTGCTCAAAAGCAATAGGAGCCCTGGCTTGAATCAAATCAATGATTTAAACATCACTGGTTAATGGGACCTTTTTATTAATATTTAAGCTACCATATGAAGTAATGGGTTTAATGGTGGCATTTTCATACATTTGTGTTATTACACTTTGTTCTCGTTAGTCCCCCTCCCCCACACCCTCCCTTTCCCCCCTCACGGGTCTCTTTCTCCCCCAAATAGCCCCATTTCCCTGTCACAGATGTACCTTTGACTGCTCCTATTTCTGGTCCTCTCCTTCCCTAATATCTCTTCCTCATCTCTTGTGGTCCCTTTCATGACCAGCACACACACACACACACACACACACACACGTAGATCTAGGTAGTACCTGTGAAGAAAGCATGTGGCGTCTGTCTTTCTGGGTCTACCTTATTTTTCTTATTTTCCAGCTCTATCCATTTTTTATGCAAGTGAAAAGACCCCATTCCTCTTTATGGCTGAGCAGTATTCCACTGTGTATATACCAAACTTCATTCATTCATCAACAGCACTTAAGCTGATTCTGTAACTTGGCTGTTGAAATCGTTGTCACAACAAACATGGACGTTATTTAGGGCAGACATCCCTCGACCTATAAAAGAAGTTTTGAACACAAATCCTTCATGTCTCCCCTAATATGGCCCTTGATTTAGCTACTACACGTGATCTAGAGATTAAGCATACAGGAAACTGAGCATAGGCATCTAAGTGCAATGTCCCATAGGGGAGAGACGGTCTAAAGGTGAGCTAGATCTGCTCTCGTCATGATTTAGCCAACAGCATCCAGTACTTAAGGTATCTCAGCTTTTGGGCTGCTAAATTCCAGGTCCCACAACTCACTGTGAACACAACCTCTCCCCAGTCAAAAGATGGATTTCCTAGGAGAGAAAACACTCCACACTTACGACACCTGCTGGGCCAAGAGGTCCCTGATCTAAACTTTTTGTTCCAAGGCCCTGGGTGTCAGGGAGGCAAGACCTTAGACCTGTAAAAGTCCACAGCACACTAAGAGTTGTGGAAACTCAAAAATATATCAACACAACTCCCCACAGGGGAAATCTTGTGTCTCCCAAGAAGGTCTCAGAAGCAAGGAACGTTGAACTGAGATGTAAGACAATAATCTCGTAGAAGGATAATAGCATTTTGGATGCTCGGAAGCTAAGACATGGCTGCCTGCACACTGGACTTGCCGACAGCTGGCCATAAGCTTTGTCCCAGCTATACCCCTTC